TCAATATGGCGGCGTTCTATTTGATAGTGACGTAGGTGGCATCTATGAATACATACTGTAGCAGCAAATTATACCCTCCAGAAGAAATAGATTAAATTGGATAATTTGTCACTGTAACCCATTTCTTCAAAATAATTTGATTTCATTTGTTTCATGTTATATTACAATGGCTATTTGGAAGAGAAAATCAGAAATCTGAGCCAAGAAATGTTTTCCTACTTGGCATTAAAATTCAAAATAGATTTTAGATGCATCCATCATTAGTTTGATTGCTCTTAATATGCCATACAGTTTGACATCTTGAAATCCGCCTGTGTCCAGTTCAGTGCATTGGACACAGTTTTTTCAGTCAACGACCTTAAGTCATGTTGGTGATCCATGTTAGGAAAATAACACTAAGCATATGAGCTAACTCCACACTGGAAAGGTTTCAGAACATGAGTCCAAAAGTCCTCCTTCGCAGGGGAAAAAGCACTCGCCCACCTCCGCAGAGACCGCGGGTTCAACCGACGGCAGCGGGTGTCCCTTCAAACACAATTGGCAGTGTTCGCAGGTGGGAAGCCTGCACTTGTCACTGCACTAATGACTCCTACTGATTGGGGGGATAGCGTGAACCTGCACACACTTTGCAGGGCGACCCCCTGTGTTTTTGTGTTCTCTAATATTGAGGTCTTGCTAAACGTAATCTTTCAAATGGGAATATTCAGACGGGAAAAATTTGATCAGAATCACCAACTCCTTCCTCTTCTCCACTCTATTAGGATCTCTTGTTTTCTGCTTCTCCCTTGTGAAATAAGACATGATTACCAAAATGATTCTGTTCCTTTTTATTTGATTTGAAAACAACTAATCCAACAAACTGGATCTTAATTGATATGATACAAACAGTGATGTGGATTTAGATGAGAGCAAAGGTTTGATTGTGTGTTTTCTCATCTGCAGAAACTGGGAGCTATGTTTGCGAGTTCTGTGGGAAGCAGTACAAATACTTCAATCCATACCAGGAGCATGTTGCTCTTCACACACCAATGGGTGAGCCTATTTAGTTACTGCTTAAAGCAGCAAAGTGTAGGATTTGAAAATGTCCAACTCTTAGAATTTAGAGTCCCTATTTGATTTTACATATATAGTCTCTTATAAACATGCATTATGGAAGGAAGTGCAAACTACGATTGACTCTGAGCATATATCTTGATGTAGGCTCCTTTGATATGAAGGCTTCACGGGTACAGGAATGTGGGAGCATGGATATGACTAAATTTGGCCACAGCCAAACTGGTAAGATAAAAAGTAAGCATCATTTCTTTTACATTTTTTAAGTAGCTTTGTTGATTGATTGTGTAATTCTAAGCAAAGTTTGCATGCCACATAACCTCGACACACACAAACTCACACACATACACACACACACACACATAGTTGTTCCTGCTCCGGATGGTGAGGTTAAATCCCTTATTGTCATATTTACAGATCATGTCCATTATATTTGTCATTGATGTAGAACTTGTGTTCTGTAAATGGTTGAGGGTGATAAATTGTAATATTGTTGAAAACGAATCAGTACAAAATTGAAAGGAGATATATGATATTGGTAAAGAAGGGAAAAAACACCTGTGCTGTGGAATCATGTATTTTTAAAATGGCAGACAGTCAGTTTACTATGATATTGGCATAGCTAGGTTTTAGGGCAGGGACCGCAACAATAATATCACAGTCCTTTTGTGAGGGCTTCGCAGAAATTCATAAGAGCATGCCTCACTGTGGCTAAAGTGTGTTACTCTGAGCCAGTGGAAACTGGATATAAGAGAACCCTAAGAGATTGAATGTAAGGCTCTGGGTCACCTTGCCGCTGTATTTGTGGCAACCCTGCTGGAAACTATTAACCTTTAGTCAATGGTTAATTGCACAATTTAAGTGATGATACAATGAACGTTTTTTTTTATGTTTTTTTTTTTATTGCCCCAAGCACCTAAACACATTAAAATTATGATTAAAAACATTAAAACGATATTTAATGCAGACTGCGCAGATTCTCTAATTTCTTGCTTAATGTAAGTCTTATTAAAGCTGTTTTCCAGAGATTCACAAACTTAACAAAATACATTATACTATAGTATAAATACAAGTAAAATAAGTAAAATCAAATACAGATAAATGCATTTTAGACTGTTATTTTAACATATCCCACATAGTCCATTGGCAGTATTGCAGACAATTTTAGATCATGTTACTCTGGGATATTGCTTTGCCAAAACTTTTGTCCAGCTGTCATAAATCCTTGATTTTTCTCCCAACTGGTACTGTATTTTGTGGTACATGACCCCCCCTATCTTTCTGCTAAGAAGCACTCTGCCATAAAGAACTATTTAAAGCATGGCACACACTCACAGCTTAGAAGTGGGTCAAAAAGATGGAATGAAGAGAAGGAATTAAACCCATATTTAAATGTAATATGAACATTTGGATCCTTTTGTCAAGGCTGTTAGTGTGATTGATTTGCAGGCCGCAAACTTAAGTTTAGATTAATAAACTGCATGTCATTGACTTTGCTCCATCTTAACTGTTGTGTATGGAAGCGAATCGTGACCA